ATATTCACCATTCAAGATTCAATATTTTTCATATATAACAAATTTTGGTGTGATGTTGAAGAATAGTTTAAATGAATAACTTCCCAATATTCTTAATACTGAATGCATTCTTTTTAATAAAACTATTTATGAAGATAGTGAAGATTAGGTGGGTGAGCAGAAAGAACAAACTATTTTACAATTTGATATAGGAAAAGATTACTATGATTTAGGTTCTCTTTCTTTTATTTTTGATCCCTATAATTAAGAAAGAAAATTATTATAAATTGAGATTAGTTGTTAATCATCTTATCTGTAAAATAGTTTGAAATATATAATGTAAGCAAAAAGCTTGAGATGCCAACTTGGAGAATTTTATGTTAATTCTGGATGTTAAATGTGCTCATCAAATTAAGGATTTTACTCTGTTGTTTATGATGCAACTAAATGCTCAATATTTGATAAAACAAAATTTAAAAATATAACTGAAAACAATATAGATTTGATTGAGGGTTTTTGGAGACCTAATTATTTATCAGATTAAATAGATGAATGTTTTAAAAATTTAAAGTTTTGTGTAGGCGGTTGGGGATAAGGAAATTAAATATGTGACTTAGGGCATATTGGAGCATTATGTGAAGAATGTGATATTTATAATATAAGAGGAGATGGAAAATATTTTAAAAATCAATAGGATTCAAATTGTATTTCTTGTTTTGGAGTTAATGATAGTATTATTCCTTTTATAGCAGCTTCAATTTGGTAATTTAATTTAATATTTAGGTCTTTTATATCTATCATTATAACCTTAAGAAGTATTGAATAATCTAATCAATTATTCAAATGTTTAAAATTATAATAAAGGTTCAGCAAAATTATTTTTAATCTAGAATAAGGTATATTCATTATTTAATTTAAGGGCACGAAAGTTTTTTAATAAAAATGTTATTAAACTATTTATGGATATTCTCTGTTATATTTACATTCAATATACAATTTTAACTTTCACTCACTTTTGTTGATTCTGCTAGTAATACTTCCTATTCTATGACAAATAATTTGGATTGTTATTTATCAGAAAATCTATCCATAAAATTGATTTATTCAAAAATAATTACAATGCTTGTACTAATGACATTCTAATTTATACTTATAATTATGGGATTTCTCATATATAATTGTTATAAAAAGATTGGAATCAGTAATTTTAACTTGGAAACAATCTCTAATAGTCTACTCTACCTTTATGTTTCTAATTATGGTGGATTGGTCAAAATGTAATAAAAAACTTAAACTTTTTTAGGTATTTCTCTATTGTTTCAAAAAGAGATGTTTCAAGTTAGAGTTACATCTAAGGTGATGTATCTCTACTTTTTGGAACTAAAGAACATTTAATTTGGATTTTTTCTTTTGTTATTCCAGGAATAGGAGTTTTTAGTTTGATTATACCTCTTTCCCTTTTTATTGTAATGCACATTAAAAAAGATGAACATGATAACATAAAGATAAGAAAACATTTTTGCTATTTAATTAATGAATACAACAACCAAAATTATTTTTGGGAAGTAATTAAGTTAATTAAAAAAACAATTATTATTCTAATATTAACATATTTTGAAACATATATTCTTTTAAAAGCATCATTATTAGGATTATGCTTACTTTTTTATTAGTTATTAGCTTTTAACAAGAAACCATATATTCTTTCCAATTTCAATAACATGGATTTATATTCAGCTCAAATTTGCTCTATTTCAATATTCCTTGCTGCTTCTAAATATGTATCAGAACAAGAAAACAATTAATTTTCATCAATAATCCTCTAGATTTTGATTGTTCTTCTTTGTATTAAACTTTGCTATTCATTTATTAAAAGCATATTAGAAGTTTA